CTCACCCTTGTCTCCCCGTGGCCATTGCAGCTCCCCAGTACCTCACCCTTGTCTCCCCGTGGACATTGCAGCACCCAAGTACCTCACCCTTGTCTCCCCGTGGCCATTGCAGCACCCACGTACCTCACCCTTGTCTCCCCGTGGACATTGCAGCTCCCCAGGACCCCCTCCTCTCTCCCCCGCGCTCTCTCTCTCTCTCTCTCTCTCTCTCTCTCTCTCTCACAAGTAGCAATGGGTTTCTGGGGACAAATTCTACCCCGTGTCACCCGCGGGGTCGGTCAACTATGCACCAACGTGTTAAACGTCTGTAACAACGATTAAAAGCGGTGATAAACCTGACTCACTCAGAACGAATCTCGGACGGGATGCAGAACAACACGAAATTGATATTGAATATATATCAAATATCAAATTAGCCATGTTTATGCTTCTGATTATCGTAAGTCTGTGTTAAAGTAAGGGAGTTACGATCACCTTCGCGCTAAGATCGCTTTGTGTAACGGGGCCCTGGGTGAGTACTTGATGTCTAAGGGACTGGTCACTAGGTTGCTGCTGTGTTGAAGAAAACACCGATGGCGCAATTGGAAACTGGACCATATAATCTGATAACAATGGTATATATTGGTTGATGGTATGTGTATGATAGCTAGAGAAGGGTATTTAGGATTTTCTAATGAATCAGAACAAATATAAGTGCGTGGTTTCCGGTCGAAAGGTGTGTCTCCTGGTCCAGGTGTGACAGACGTCATGAGCAGACGACACCCGGCGCCATTTTGCATTCGGACGTGTGGCATGAAAGGAAATGGCCACTGTGCGAGAATGAAGGCTCAGAGTGACAGCTAGTGCTACTACAAATAGGCGGAGGGACATAAAAATATTTTGCTCAATTAAAAAAGCTTCACACACAGAAGGGATTTGTCAGATTGGTAGTGAAAGCGGCGAGCACGTTTCGAATCAATTATTTCGACTCCATGATTTTCATCTTTGTACGTGTGTGCTCCGGTGCTTCCATTAAGCGCTCTTTGATGTAAAGGTAATTGTCGACTAGCTGCCTTCTAACGAGTTCGCCCTTGAAGACCTGGTCACATAGCACACTCATAAATTCATATAGCCCTATAATATAATCGTCGTTTAAATTACGCCTCCATTCATCAGTCCAGAGTGATATGATTACGGCCTTTTTGGGCCGTGTTTCGGCGGGAGAAGGCGTCGAACTAGATCTAAACGTCAGTAAAGTAGCAACCCCATGCCATGGCGGCTAATTGGAGTATACCATAATTCGCGCTATCCGATCAATTAATTTATATTTTATTATCGTTCGTTTGGAATTGGAGAAAGGAGGAGTATGTTTCTGGACACATTCTCGAGTTATCGCGCCATTAACTTTACAAAGAGGTTAATCCTCTGCAATGCTTATGGGACAAAACTGTTGTCAGTTTATGCAAGGGGTCCTCCTATCTTGTGGCATTTGTGTGGTCTTTGTTGGAATATATATATTCGCCGAAAACGTTGTTTATGATCTCAGCAGTTTCAAATGATCTGTTAAATATAGACAAGGTGGACGCATGGTGTTTTATAAACAATCCTGCGGATTCTGGTTACACACCCTTGCGGTGAGGGAACGTAAACCAACAGATACGGCGTCGAATAAACTCGCTCTACAATCCCTATCAGCAGGGGGTCATTTAATCAACGCCACAAAATTCACATTTAATTAATCGATTACACACAAGTGTTTGTCAATATTTTATGTAGAATTGAGATTGCTAAATAATATACAAAACCATTGTTGATAGTTTGTGGTGTTTATTGGTAGATAACACGCTCTTGTCATGTGATTCTTTAACCCAGATTCTCAAATATGATATAAAAACACTATAGCCCTTCCATTCAAACTTATACACAGTTTATATCACAGACAAATCAGCTGGTTCTTTCAAATAATGGCTTCACTTACTGTATCTCTAAACAGCAAATATTTGTAAATCTTACCTTTTTTCGAGATAGCTGTAAGTGAATGCTCTTTTATAGCAAGCCCATGATCGTATACAAACATCAATCTGTGTATATAGAAATGAATGCTTTGAATGTAGATCACAACAGATTATCACACCCTACCAAAAAGACACTATCAGCTGTTTCACTTGCTAACCCAGTGACTTAGCAGAATTGTGTGTAGATATATCCTGTATATGAAAAGTAACAATAAGGCCAAGGTTAATATCAGTACGGGTCGATGAAAGTTTACAATTCCGAGGCTTGCAGATATACATAGAAGTATGCATACACCTAAAATATGAGTTAACTTATATGGAATGAAATACGCGCACAATCTGATTTAACAATACATGTATATAGATGTTAATACACATAAACGCATACATCTGACATACATACACGTAAAATCGGGTTACACTATATAGAATTACATACATCTGAAACCTAATTCACACTATACTGAGTGGTACATGTACGTATAGCAGCATTATTCAATCAACTCTATTAAAAGACACTTTCAACGTTGTATTCTGGCGGGCTGAAAGGTTTGGAAGCTGTTATTGTATGACCTGAACGACCTTTAGTACAACATGTACAACGCGCAGTCGGGGCGATTATGTGTAGTGCCAGAACACTCACGTTTACGTGCAATTATATAACACCTAGTGTGTTTACGTGCAACGTCAGAGCACTTAAGGTTGCGTGCAGCTTTAGAACACTGAAGTTTACGTGCATTTTTATAACACTTAATATATTTACGTGCAACGTCAGAACACTTAAGGTTGCGTGCAGCTTTAGAACACTTGCGTTTACGTGCAATTGTATAACACTTAATATATTTACGTCCAACGTCAGAACACTTAAGGTTGCGTGCAGCTTTAGAACACTTGCGTTTACGTGCAATTGTATAACACTTAATATATTTACGTGCAACGTCAGAAGACTTATAGTTGCGTGCAACTTTAGAACACTCAAGTTTACATGCAATTTGATAACACTTAATATATTTACGTCCAACGTCAGAACACTTAAGGCTGCGTGCAACTTTATTACATTCAGGTTTACATGCAATTTGATAACACTTAATATATTTACGTCCAACGTCAGAACACTTAAGGCTGCGTGCAACTTTATTACATTCAGGTTTACATGCAATTTGATAACACTTAATATATTTACGTCCAACGTCAGAACACTTAAGGCTGCGTGCAACTTTATTACATTCAGGTTTACATGCAATTTGATAACACTTAATATATTTACGTGCAACGTCAGAACACTTAAGGCTGCGTGCAACTTTATTACATTCAGGTTTACATGCAATTTGATAACACTTAATATATTTACGTCCAACGTCAGAACACTTAAGGCTGCGTGCAACTTTATTACATTCAGGTTTACATGCAATTTGATAACACTTAATATATTTACGTGCAACGTCAGAACACTTATAGTTGCGTGCAACTTTAGAACACTCAAGTTTACATGCAATTTGATAACACTTAATATATTTACGTCCAACGTCAGAACACTTATAGCTGCGTGCAACTTTAGAACACTCAAGTTTACATGCAATCTGATAACACTTAATATATTTACGTGCAACGTCAGAACACTTATAGTTGCGTGCAACTTTAGAACTGTGTTGTGATTCCGTCTGTGTATATACACGAGTACTTACATCCAGAGACAAACTCTACGATCATACACATCAGCTGACATCGCATTCTTCTAGTTTCTGAGGTCCGTAACTCTTTGATTATATTTACATTAATTTCAACAAAACGTTGGCATCAAAAGGACGACAATGACTGTCATTCATGAAGCCTTGATCAAACTCAAGCCACACCCGAGAGGAACACGGCTGCCAATGCCAGCTTCATCAGTCCTTCCGTTTCAGAGGAGATGTTTACAGAGCCTTGACTGCTTCTCGAGCGGCGTTACGAAGGTGTCAGCGTCTACATTAAAAATGCGCAACAACAACAACATTATAGCGTAACAGTTTGTTGAGCCTCACTACCAAATACAAAAAATAGTGCGTTTCCAAATACGACTGCCGTGCTTGCATATCTAAATATATTTTCTCTGAATAAATAATGATATTCATACCATTTGCTTTAACGTAAGTGGGAAGTTCAAGTTGTTGTACTACTACCACCACCAACAACAACACCACCACCAACAACAACAACACCAACACTACCACTGCTACTACCGCTACTACCGCTACGACAATTACTACTACTACTACTACTACTACTACTACTACTACTACTACTACCACTACGGCAACCGCTACTGTCTTCTTTATAATATATTCTTTTACTAAAAAGAAATAGATAAGATACCACTTACACATCCGTCTCTTTTGGCATTTATCATGCAAAAACATCCATGTCCAATTTATGTTTTCGTTTTCACATTAATGGCCACTTAACGAAGCTTAATGCATTTAAATTGCATCATACATACAGGTATATAGATTAAGAGCATTGCCCATGCGGACATTACCGGGGCTACAATTAGTTTGACAAGGTAGACACAATTTTATGGATAACAACTTCTTTAATACTGTAAAAAGCGACGTTTCGTTCTGACCTGCTTGACAACGGTAAAAGGATATATACCTAAACGTCGCTTTTTACAATATTAAAGAAGTTGTTATCCATAAAATTGTGTCTACCTTGTCATCCGTCGACTTCTAAGTAATGCCTATCAAACAATTTACAATTTGTTTGGTTTAAGCAAAATTCTTGGTGATGTTAGCGCTGATCTGCATGAGTTTCCAATCTTGGTTAAAAAGAACCAGTATTACAATCTGGTGTACTTACCACTAATCTTACATTCATAATTTACATAACCCTTAACTAAATATCTCGGATAAAGTGATTTACACCTACGAACCATAATGAAAGAAGCGGCATATAAAATGAAAAATCGGTAACGTGAAATCGAGTGATCAAAGGGAAGGCACTCTAATCCAACTCAAGTGGTTTCCCTTCTGTAACTCTCTAGGATTAGAGAATGTCGTGAAATAACGCGCGAAAGCGCTGATGTACCAAACGATAGATTAATTTTGCTGACAAAGAAAAATGCCAGGTCTATTAGAATCGTGTCGTGATCTGTATGACACGGAGGACTTGTACGATGTACTGAAAGTAAGGAAAAATGCTAGCCAACAAGAAAGTAAGTTGTTGCCCAAGTATAGTCCGAGACTACCGATATTAATCTGACAAGTGTGATCCCAAAATGCAAATGTAAACAAATAAATTACCAGTAGGTAGCCAAGAGCTGTGAATGTGTCCATCAGCAGGTTCTTGTATTTTTGCTGTTCACCCAAACTATGTTTTACTGTTATTTGGTGGATCTATTAGGGAACTTGATGAGAGCCTGTTTAAGAATATTTGGTCCAATGGGAATTCCAGGCTAGATTTGACACCTATTGACGACCTATGCTACCACTACAACTACAGCGGTAGAAATAGGCACTAGTCCTATTGTCCTTGCTGAACTGCCCAATAGTTAAGGATGCCCAATAGTTAGTCATAAGGACTTGTATAAATTTGCCATTTTAAAGGGGTTTTGCTATATATTATTATAAGGACTAGCGGACTAAAAATGCTAGTTTCTACCTCTAAACTAGGGCTATATTATACTCGGGTTACACCATCAGTTACTATTTCAAGCTTCCCCACTAGATATATTTGTGTAACATAGTTAAATTGCTTCGTGTTATTGGAAAGTTCACTTAATGTCTTGAATATGTTTGGGTATGTCATATATATATATTATGATTCACAGCATGGAAATGGGATTGTTAATTGATCTTTTTCAAAGAAATGACCAATTTATAAATTTTAACGATTAACTACAAAATTGTTAGAGAGGGTAAACTCTCATTTTTTTGTATCAACTGTCCCTTTTTAGAAGTAAGTAAGACCTCTGCTTTTGAAGGACGAGCAGGTAAAGGGGCACTGATCTACAGCAATTCCTCGGGACTGGTTGTTGCCTTTGTTATGTTTTTTTCCCTGTGAGTACCCGGATGATATAGCAGAACTCTAGACGAGATCACGACCTGTGCTGCGCATTTCGTAAGCACATTTGTCGCTGTCATTGATAGTATAAGGGTGTATGGTCATATTGATCAACAAAATGAAATACAATTTAGTCTTGAAAATAATAAGGAAATGTAGGTATCTTTGTGGGTAGCAATGGTAATGGTGACAAAGTTTTGATAAGTCACTTGCTTGGTATTGTGCTATTTTCGTTTACACTATTGTGACTTGCAACACAAAGTTAATATTTCCCCTGAGCATTGCTTATTTTATCGTGTGTATATTTTATTGTCAGAATGTGTAAAATTTTCAGGCAATTTGTTATACTCCTAAATAATCAGGTTTTTTACAAATTGAATGAAAAATCTGTCCAATTATGTTGTTATGATAACAAATTCCAACCATTCTTATGTTTTAATTTCATCACCCAGTGTCTGAAAATGATATGATTAAAAGAAAACGAAAGTCAATGTACATTTCTTTAGATTTGGCTTCTAACCCTAGCATAATTAGTCTGTTGTTATGTTTTAAGCCATTTTGAACCTCATAATAATTGTTAGTCAATCTGTTAAATAAGATGTTTCAGTCAATTTGTAAGTATTTAGACATTTTATAATTTGCCTCAGTGAATCACAATTTACACATTGACTGTTAAATATACACGCCTACAAACAAAAAGGCTTGTGAAAACAATGTCTGGCATGCACCGAAGAAAAAGTAGAGGAATTGAGCAAATGAATGAAAACAAAATGCAAATATCATAAGTACAACCTTCCAAAGTATTATATATAATATCAGGCAGTTACTTGTTCGATGAATGTATCCGTGATAATGCACATAAAGGAACAATATCCCATTGTCTGCAGCTGTACACAGAAACGGATGCAGGCTAAAACGGCACCTCAGCAAAACATCACCGACTTCTTGGGCGATAACGGCTACTAATTGTCAGGCGAAAATGGCACCTCTATTTGTAACAACGATAAGAACGATTTATGCAGTAGTATATATGCTTTATTTACATGCTTTATTATGTTATGTTGTAGTATATGTTTCCCTTGGGCGGGGACACGGTCTGTTATCCGAAGAAACATTTCGGCTTGCTGCCTGCAGAAAGGGGAGATATATATGAAATAAAATAAAATTACTATTTATTTCCTACCAACTAAAATAAATATTAAATATATCGTATACCTGTAGTCCAATTTCTTGACATTTCCGCCAGACTCAGTTTCAGATTGACATTGAGTCAATTGAGTAAAGGCCTCCCAATCAGAGTCGGTGAGTGAATTGGACATAATTTAATTTAACAATAATCTGTGTTTGCAAGTTGCCATGTAAGTTGAATTTCATTTATTTTACTTCAAAGCATGTGATGTCTTCACAATAAGTTAAGTTGAGGCGACTAACGGGATCGGGTGGTCAGGCTAGCTGACTTGGTTGATGCAGGTCATCGATCCCAATTGCGTGGATCGATGCCCATGATATGAATCACTGGATTGTCTGGTCCAGACTCGATTATTTACAGACCACTGTCATATAGCTGTAATATTTCTGAGTGCGGCGTTAAACAACAAACCAACCAACCATAGTTGAGCCTCCAAATCAGAGTCGGCGGGTAGAGGCTAGTTTCTAATGTAAACTTTTTTAACATTTCACAATTATTTGTGTTTGCATGTGACCATGTGAGTTTAATTTCATGTATTTCAGTACCAAGGTTAAAAAAATAATAAGGTGTCGTTTTCTCCAGGCAATAGTAGCTGTTTTCGCTTTAGGCAAGGTGCCGTTTTCACTTGGTGATGTTTTTCGGAGGTGACGTTTTAGCTATAACCTGATAGAAATTTATCTTTGTAACAATGAACTATTTTAAATATATATAGCGTTGCTGGATATTATGACTTGTGTTCGTTTCACAAATGATCACAAAGTTTGTTTCAGGTGTTTCACATAGGTGTCAAGTCTCAAAGGTCAGCTGAGAAAGCCCACGTGACAACTTTTTTCATAATGTCCACATAAAATCCATTGAGTTAGATAACAATGAGCAATCAATCAATGTATTATCGGTTAATCCTTTGAACATAGTATGTCGTTCTTACATCGGCACTTCACGCCATGATATGAGTGTATACCATCAGCTTAGTAAACTTGCACATGTAAACACCTACAAATCCACTGTGCAAGATAACAGTGAATAATCAATCAACACATTTTCTGTTGATCCTTTGATGGCGAGGAATTATCAGTTGATTTACAAAAAAGAAAATCCACTGATCATTCATCTCTTGCTGGGCTGCCACGTGCATATTACATAACACACATTTCACCCCACTTCAAACATGGATTTAGATTAAATAATTACCCCAGACACAAGAAATGCCAAATGGGAACACATTAGGTAATCTGGGGTATTACCAAATAACGACATCCGATGAGCTTCCACCATACTTTCTGTCTGTTACGGCTGAAGAACTTGCGCCTTTTGTCAAAATCGTCGTAGATCACGAGTAACAGATCAGAGTTAAAAAATGAACAGATATTGCCTCAAAGTTTATTTAGCTGTCCTTACAGATAGTAGCCCAATCTCTTGTCACGCTCGGTTGTGTTCGCGAGCAAATATACTCACTGCAGCTAGTGAGCTCTAGTGGGCAGTGTTAGACAGCCCGGAAGAGACCAGAGATCAGTGACCCTTTAAGTTGACCCCAGTAGGTCAAATTGTTTTTTGATATATCGCTGGATCATAGGTTTTCGGACGTCATACGGTTTCGGATGGCCATGTTTATTGTGATTACTCGCGTTATAACGGGGGTGTAGCATCACACAAACCCTGTAAATACACAGATGATGGCTTGTTTTTCAGACAAAGTTGTCTTTCCAAAGTGAATGATAAGTTTTACTGTTGTTCATGTGATAAGAGAGAAAACTAGGAATGTTTCTTAAGCGTCCAAAAGCCCCAAACACGGGGATAAGTCCATCTTTAGTGATGATTGGGTCTGACCATCTTATGTTCTGAGTTTGTGGAATCTGTAAACTGTCTTTTTTTTCAGTCAAGAAAGGCTACCATAAGTTATCACTGAAAGTACACCCGGACCGAGTTAAGGAGGATGACAAGAGCGAGGCCACACAGAAGTTTCAGACTCTTGGCAAGATCTACAGCATTCTGTCCGACAAAGAGAAGCGAGCTGTTTATGATGAAACTGGTAAGCTATTCATCCAGCAGTCCGGAGATTTTGACACATTTGAGATAATACATGCCATACAGATGGAACATTGCTGAGTCATGAAACCATACTCACTGAGACAAACTGAAAATTGATCAGAACCTGGTTGGTGATTTATATCAACCATGACTATGACTGAGAGTTCGATTTTTGTCAACTTTTGTAAAATTTCCAAATGCCATTCACAAGCTATCAAACTTTGTTATGATAATTCCAGCAGTGGAAAGTGAGTAAAAAGCTTCCACATGGCTAACAGATTCCTCAACTTGCTTATAAATGCTTCTTCAGTCTTGCTTACTAGATCCTTAGCTTAATTTCTTTGACTAGTAGTAAGTTTATGTCTTGCTTGTTTCATATTCAGGGGACATTGATGAGGAGAATGATGTGGAACAAGACAAGGATTGGTATGAGTACTGGAGAATGCTGTTTGCCAAGATATCCATCAAAGATATTCAGGAATATGAAAAAAAGTACAAAGGTATGAATCATAATCTCTGAAGAAAGATTGGTTAGTTGCAATGTATTGTGCCATGATGTGCGTCTTGAAGTCAATCGAAATGAAACTGGTGTATAAGGTTAAGGAGTACATGCTATTTTCCATAAAAATGAATTGTAATACTATTTGCTTACAGTATGTGTAACTAATGAGTTCCAAAGCCTTTTGGGGGCACGGGTGGCCCAGTCGTCTAAGGCGCTGCGATTCGCTGTGCAGAGTTGCGTCCCTTAGGCACGCCAGAAACCTATGATTGTGGGTTCGAATCCCGGTTCGCCCCTATTATATTTCTAGGTTTGTCAGCACCATATCCGTGCTCGTGGGTTCACCGAAGTGGTAAATGTCAGAAACCTGCATCACTTCGGGCTTTCCTCCCACATTAAGCTGACACACCGTGATATAACTGGAATACTGTTAAAAGCGGCGTTAAACCAAACTCACTCATTCCAAAGCCTTTGCTACTTTGTTTGACAAATTTTCATCATATGTATTGATAGGGTCCTTAAACATTCCTTTTGATAAACCAACACTACTAGCATGTCATGGGGGTTCGTCACAGGGTTAGAATTTGTCCCCAGCATCGTATGCTGCTTGTAGGAGGTTACTTAAGTGATTGGGTGGTCAGGCTCAGTGACTTAGTTCATAGAGTGTCATCATATCACAACGGCAGGGATCATTGCTCATGATATCAAACAGTGGTTTGTCTATGCTGTCAGCATTTAGCCGGAATATTGCTAAAAGGGGGGTTTAACAAGGCAAAAAGAAACAAATCCACTATGGCAAATGGCAAGTTTTCATGTATCATTTATCATCTCCAGATCTTACTACCCAGACGAGGTAACAGTTACAGTTCTAGTGTCAGTTTCCAGGGTGAGGGTTTCCAGGCCAACAGGGTCTGGACTATTGACAGTAATATCAGTGTGTGAGGGACACTGCGAAACATGCCAAATAATACTCTAATGGTAACAGACAAGCTGACTTTAATTAAAAAATATACTTATATGAATATCGCTGATTTTGTTCAACAACAAAGATTGATGAGGTACTATATTTGCCAGTCCACAGGGACTGGCAGTCACATGAATTACCGGTCCAAACCTGATTTTACTGGTAATTACTGGTAAACGGGAACACTGCTGTAATATATACCCTTGGTCTGTGTGTATGTGTACCATACAAAAAATATTGTCCCCCGTGAAGATCCAGGTAACAATTGGTCATCAGCAAGTTGGCAGCAACCCATTATTGTTTTATGAAGTGGCTAATGGGATCGGGTGGCCAGGCTCAGTGACTTTGTTGATGCATGTTATTGTATCCCAAATGCATAGTTTGATGATCATGATTTCAATCATTAGATTGTCTAGTCCAGATTTGTTTATTCACAGACCGCCATCATATGGCTTGATTGTTGCTGAATTAAACAACAGACATATGAATAGGTATTGTCATTACCGTTGACCAATGATACAGGCAAATATCATAATGTTTGTTTGTTTGTTGTTTAACGCCGCACTCAGCAATATTCCAGCTATATGACAGTGGTCTGTAAATAATCAAGTCTGGAACAGACAATCCAGTGATTGACAACATGAGCATCGATCCACGCAATTGATGACATGCATCAACCAAGTCAGGGAGCTCTACCGCCCGATCCCGTTAGTCGCCTTACGACGAGCATAGTCGCCCTTTACAGCAAGCATGGGTTGCGGAAGACCTATTCTACCCGGGATCTTCACAGGCCAAATGATGAATGTCATAATGACTCATATATCATGATATATAGGTTTGATTGTATCAGATGAATGTCGTGAGCATGGCCTTCCTTTGATCTCATCCAGAAAGTCAAAGGATTATTCTCGTTCTTAATTGTGGTTTACCAACATATAAAAATTGTTTGGTGTGAAGCTGAGTAAGGCAACAGAGCCCATTCACTAATTCCATGTTGTGCAGGGTCCAAGGAGGAGCTGAAGGACCTGAAGGCTGCCTATCTGGAGTCCGAGGGAGACATGGACGTGATCCTCGAGAGTGTGTTGTGTGCTACCATTGATGATGAAGACAGATTTGCCAAAATACTCAAAGATTTCATCAAGAAGAAAGAAGTGCCAGACTTCAAGGCCTTCAGTAAAGAATCTAAGACAAAGAAAGCAAAGAGAAGGAAAGAGGTTTGTGAGCTTGCAAGGTCTTTAAGTTTTGCAGTAGTTTGAAAAAAACCCATTTACCATCCAAACAATCTTTTTATTGATAAGTGAAAACAAACAAGAGTGGTAGTGATTGTAGTCAGTGGTTTGCCACTGTAGTTTCAGCAGATTCCATTATTTTTGTATAAACCTACAAGTATTTGCAACCAGTGTATCAGTCGAGGTTTCGGTTCTGTCTCAAAGGTAGTTTCAGGAGCAATTTATCCTTAACACCTATAAATTGTATCCCTTTCAAATTCCTGGGATGAACCCCAACAGTGCTCAATAGTGAAGGTTTGATCCCCTGCTGCATCATACCAAAAGACATTAAAAGATGGTACTTGTTGTTACCCTGCCTGGCACTCGGCATTAAGGGGCTGAAACAAGGACTGGTTGGGTGAGTCAGTAAACTGTCTGGGTGGGGTATTTGTGTTAAACACTGCGGCATGGTATCTCAGTGGGCTAGCACTATAAAATCAGCGTACGTCAGACTAGTACAAACAGCCACACACACACATGTGCAGGCACGTCACTATAAAAGTGCAATACTCATGGACGTGACGCCAAAACACAATTCACCTCACCTCACCACACCTCACCTCACCTCACCTCACCTCACCTCGATAGTGAAACAATTTCCCCAAAACATTTTTGTCAAAAGTCATATTTTTTTTTACTTTGGGTCAGTTTGTTTTGTGGGTTTATTGTATAATCCAACTGATAATATGAAGGGCCTAAGGCTATGACAACCATTACTTTATATTCAATTTTCTCAATCTTGCTGAATAGTTAACAGTACAGATGGGTTGATACTTATGAACAATGAGGATTTCCTACACACGTGTGAACTGTGTGACATGCTCAGAAGAGCATATCTTAATGTTCAGGTAGATATTTGAAAGCTTTTGTGTACAGGTTGTTTGTATACGCCAGTATTGGATGAACTAACACTTGTTTCCTGGGACTGACAAGACACAGTCCAAGGCAGCAGCCGTTTGATCTTCAGGGAGATATTTGTTTTGGTCAGATTATTTTCTCAGTCATGCTTTTAACACAACATTTGGTTTTCTCAAAAAAATGCATTGGCTGGTTTGACCAGCCTGAGATGACTTTCCCAATGTTGAACCTGGATTGTATGCTTGCAGGCAGAGGCTGAGGCTGAGGAAGCTAAGGATGCCATGAAAGAAATCGGAATGAAGGAAACCGATTCCCTGAAGGCTATGATTCAAAAGAGGCATGCAGCGCGGGGTGCTTCGGCTGACGACTTCTTTGCCCAGCTGGAAGCCAAGTATGCAGAACCAAAGAGACCAAAGCCTGGCACCAGCAGAAAGTCAAAGTCAAAGTCAAAGTCATAACATCTGGGGACTCCGAATGGACTGGTTAGGAATTTGGGAATGAAAAACCTAAATCCAGTTTGCTTCTTATTCCATTCATTGCAAGTTGCATGTTGGTTACCATGGTTATTGTTGTAAGTTATTTATGCTGCTCAGCGTTTGAAATGTCACTTTGTTGATATACACTGTATTTCACTTATCAAATTTGTCTCTTAAGATATATTGTGAAATAAAAACTTTTGAATGCTTATTCTGTTATGATCGTGTACAACATCATGGTGCTTATTATCCACCACTGCCAGGAAGTAAGAAATGTACCAATGGTTGGTTGGTCTGTAAATAATCGAGTCTGGACCAAACAATCCAGTGATTAATATCATGAGCATCGATCCACGCAATTGGGATCAATGACATGCTTAAGGAGATCATATATAAATCATAGACCTGCATCACTTCGACCCTTCCTCCCACATTAAGCTGACACGCTGCCATATAACTGGAATACTGTTAAAAGCGGAGTTAAACTCAACTCACTCACTCACTCACTCACTCACTTCTGTGTGCCATGACATAGCTGGGATACTGCAGACTGCAACTGCTCATTCACTGTCATGAGAAACCTAAGCTTATTCGCTCAAATCTATCGAATGACAAGGGACTGCTTTTATTCTTGAAGAAGATATGCAGTTACACACTTTACCAGACAACATGCTTGTCGTAAAAGTCGACTAACGGGATCGGGTGGTCAGGCTTACAGACTTGGTTGATGCATGTCACGATCCCAATTGCGTTGATTGATGCTCATAATATCAATCACAGGATTGTCTGGTCCAGACTCGATTATTTACAGACCGCCCTCATATAGCTGGAATATTACTAAGTGTGGTGTAAAACAACAAACCAACCAACCATCCAGACAACAAGGGAGAGAATACAAGTGGAGTACACTAGAACCATCCTCGATGGATGTCAACGTCTGTGGGACATTGTGTACTATCGACATTTGCTGAGACAATGAAAACGCATAATCAACCAACTCTCATCAGATGAGTGTTTGTGCTCAAGTCCATCTCGGATTAAATCGAATGAGATTCGAACACAAACGATGACATTATTATTTATCCCATGCCTAGAAACACAGAGAAACTTACTTTGATTTTTGATGCCATTTTACCAAATATTTCAAAACTTGAGTGAGTGGGGTTTAACATTAAATATTAAATATTAAATATTTTTAAGTTCTGTCACTGCGTGTCTTAATGTTTGAGAGAAGCCCAGTGTGACGCAGTTCAGATTACCCATGACTATGGTGTGGTGGTATCAAACCAAAATATCCTACTTGGACTAAATCTGGGATTCAAACCCTCCCCCAGCTGATCCGGCCATGGCGAATTACGACACCAAGGGTGAATGAATAAAAAAATGTTTGTATAAGAAAGTGCTTGGTTGAAAGGAGAAAATCTTGTAAACGAGATACGACGGTATCTGTTATTAAATTACGGATATTTGAGGTATTGATCAGACTATAGGAGACCTTTAGTCAGTATGTCACTAGAACTCACGGTTGCTACGTCAGATGATGACGCGCAGACAAGATGACCAGAACGTTTCAGAAAATGGGCCCCGTTTCACAACGCGACATGGCCGTACGACGATCGTTAGTGTATGTTAATTATTATCCCCCGCCCAACAAAGTTAGCGGCGGATATAGAAACGGGCTCCGTCCGTCCGTCACGTTTCGTTTCCGGAGCATAACTCAGAAACCGTTCAATATGTTTTCATGAAACTTTGCAGGTCTGTCAAGTACAGGCTGAACTTGTGCCTTTTGCTATTTAGAAATTTTAGAAATTTATATTTTTTACGTTTCCATGGCAACAAGAAGGACTTAGGTTCTGTGGGGGTAGGGTTCGTTTCCGGAGCATAACTCATAAACCGTTCAATATTTTTTCATCAAACTTTGCAGGTCTGTCAGGTACATGCTGAACTGGTGCCTTTTGCTATTTAGAAATTTTAGACATTTTTATTTTTTACGTTTCCATGGCAACAAGATGGACTTAGGTTCCGAACTCTTCTTTTTTACGATTTCCATGACAAGTTCCACCTCGGTTAAAGAAGGTTAGGGTTTGTTTAGATTTAATTATGTCATTAAATCTGCAACAGGGGCGGGGGATATAGCCACGTTAGTGGCAAACTCTTGTTGAAGTTGGATCGGGGCCCGGATGTGTTCATCACGACCTGGGGCGGTGGGGTAGCCTAGTGGTTAAAGCGTTCGCTCAGGACCCGGATTTGATTTACATAGGTACTATGTGTGAAGCCCATTTCCGGTGTCCCCGTCGTGATATTGCTGGAATATTGCTTAACAGCGGCGTAAAACATCACTCTCTTACTGCCCTGTCTGTCATGGAATCATGCATGTACTTTTGCAGGATCTATGCAATTTAAGGCCATTTTATTAAGGTCTATTTAAGTAATAAACGCATATTTACCATTTTCAGTATTCATAACGCATGTGTGAATAAATCTTTGTGCTATAAAACATTTAAACATGCCCAATACTTTTGCCATACTATAGGTGTTGTGTTTCAGATGCATGTTCAATGTCGTAAATATACAGAGTTATTATACGTAATGAATAGCAGAGGGGGGAAACAATGTAAAGAATAAAACATAGGTCCGTCATATAATTCAATAAACAGTTAAACATATTTCCGTTCAGACTATCAAACAACAGCGAAGTCAAAGTCTTGTTCTGCATCCGAGGAACAGTCCACTCACAGTTATGAAGACATCCTAGAAGCTGTTGCCGGCGTACGAACGTATTATACGAGACTGCATACATGTAAATTGTTATTAAATACACATTAAATGTCATATCAAAGATATGTTTAAGAAAGCGGCTTCTTGTAAGTGCTAAGATTAATAAATGACTTACGAATTAACATCAATAACAAATGGGTGAGTTGGGTTTAACGCCGCTTTGAACAGTATTTCACTTATATGACGGCGTGTCAGCTTGAAAGTGGGAGGAAATCCCAAAGTAATGCAGGTCTTAGACATTTACAACTTCGGTGAAACCCACGAACACAGGATGGTGCTGACAGACCTAGGAACAGAATCTGGGATTCGAACCCTTCGACTATGTGTCTGTCACGCATGATGGACGCAACTCTGAACTGGTTGCGAATTGCTCATGATGTCGATCACTGGATTGTCTGGTCCAGACTCGATTATTTACAGACCGCCGTCATATAGCTATAATATTGTTGAGTGCGGCGTATACAATAAACAAACAAACAAACACAACTTGTGTGTTTGTCTACCTATGTTTTACATTACTACCCGGGCCGACCCCGCATGAAGGATAGGTATATCAGAGAAGGACAAGTTACATTGGTCAAATGGGTGAGAATTGGTGTTGAGTTGAGATAAATTGCCCCGTGCAGAATGTTATTTGTCAAGTTGTTTGCAGTGGGTGTACATTCACCTCATTGTTTCCGTCTCTTTATCTAGTGTGTTTGTCTTTGGCTGCACCAGATCACAGTCTCCCTAAGCGTATGTTTAGCCGTGGAACACCTCTCGTGAAACACATACCGAAGATGTAGCATGCGCGCTGCCCCTTGCAGCCTCTGTATCATGTTCGTCAGGTATAAGGCGACTTACATTTTTATTACCTGCTTTACCGATCTGGAACCGTCACCCACAATTTCTAAGTTTGGAATAAAATGTTAAAATATTGAGAACCGCATACGTTTTCATACTGCCGGACTGATAACCATTCCCAATACAATATATCGCAGTGAGTGAGTGTGCTTTTACGCCGCTTGGGGCGATATTCCAGCAACATCACGGTGTAAATGAGGGGGACAAAAGACTTTTTTTTCGCACTTTGTATCCATGTGTGGAATCAAAACCCGGGTGTGACGCGCGATCGCTTAAAATACTAAGCTGCCACACCGCCCCCGACATACCGTACATAGCCCAGAGTTTATAGTCTTTCCCGGGTGTGACGCGCGATCGCTTGAAATACTAAGCTGCCACACTGCCCCCGATATACCGTACATAGCCCAGAGTTTATAGTCTTTCCCGGGTGTGACGCGCGATCGCTTGAAATACTAAGCTGCCACACTGCCCCCGATATACCGTACATAGCCCAGAGTTTATAGTCTTTCCCGGGTGTGACGCGCGATCGCTTGAAATACTAAGCTGCCACACCGCCCCCGATATACCGTACATAGCCCAGAGTTTATAGTCTTTCCCGGGTGTGACGCGCGATCGCTTAAAATACTAAGCTGCCACACCGCCCCCGATATACCGTATACATAGCCCAAAGTTTGTAGTCTTTCAGTTGTCCTTAAAAAACTTCTCTTTTTTTAACTTTTGTTTTATTATTTGTTTCACTCTATCGACTCTTGGATGGTTCAATTTAGTAAAGACAACAAATGTTTCTTGTGTCTTTTTTAATTCGACTCGGCGAATTTCGAAACGATTTCCGTAAACCAAGACATTAAAACAAAAAGGCATATTGTACTTCTATATATATAATATCCTGGTATGCACTAATTAATGTTAGTTTATTTATGTGGTATTTTGCCAGCTGGCGTCTTTGGTGTGCGAAGTATGTCATGTACGGTATACATGTTAAACGTTCCCCTGTCTGTCAATGCACGGATATTTGTGGTCATCATGCATGATTTATCCTTCCCACGTTATACTGAGACACATTTGTAACTGAAATACGGTCCGAAGGGGTGCATGTGTTACACAAGTCACTCACTCACTCATTCACTCACTCTGCAATATCTATACAAGGATAATCACACTTCTATGCACGTTGAGATATCACATGGCATCCAATATCACCCTGAACTGTTGAAAACACATTCGAATTATGCTTTTCAACTTGATGTTATAGAAATATCTATATCATATTCCCATAGCATATTCTGTACATGTCCATGGATGGCTACTACAAAGTAAGCCTTCAATTTCAAAACTTCAAAATGGTCGCCGCCACAGCACATTTTCTTGAAAATACGTCCTTCCCAAATTTCGCAAAAAAAACATTGGACATGTTCATAATGAGACTTTTAAGAAAAGTTTATATTTTATTCAAACAATTTTTAAATTTTCATTTCACATGATGGCCAGCAATTTCGGTGTAGTGTACACAAATATTTACATTTCTGGTCATTTTCTGCCCCCTTTAAAAGTTTTTGAAACATTTTGAATTAAGTGTCATTTCCTTTTTAC